GCCCGATGCGGGGCTCGATCCCAGGACCCTGGGATCATGACCTGAGCCGAAGGCAGACGCTTAACGACTGAGCCACCCAGGCGCCCCAAATAGCAACTTTCTTGATGGCAGAAATCAACTTCAGATTCTTCTTTGTATTCTCTCTCAGGTTTTGTTATATATATATTTGGAAGTTTAAATAAATATACCTTTAAATATATATTATCTCTCATTTATATTCCATGATCCTCTATGGGGTCTATTTATGAGTCATACAATTATATTACAGTTTTTTGTGCTAATTTGTCATATTATAATTTGTATTAAGCCCTTTACATGCAGTATTTTGTTTGGTATTTAGAATTGTTCTGTGAAGGATAGGTATTAACATTATTGTCTTAATTTTACATTAAGTGGTAACTTGCCCAAGATCACACAATTGGTGAGTGGCAGAGCTGGAAATTTGAACCTAGCTTGTCTAACTATGAGGCCTGTGCACTTCACAACTTTTTGTTGCCATAAAGACCATCAGAAGTCATCTGACTCAGCCCTTACAATTTCTAGAGATGGGGCACCTGGATGGCTCAGGCAGTCAAGTGTCCCTCTCTTGGTTTCAGCTCAGGTCTCGATCTCAGAGTTGTGAGTTCAAGCCCCACATTGGGCTCCACGCTGGGTGTGGAGCCTACTTACAAAAAAAAAACAACAACAAAAAGGTAAAAAGAAGCTAAGGCCCAGAATGATAATGACCTGCCCATAGTCAGAGGATAATTCATTGGTAGAGCCAGGCTTCGAGCTGAGATTTTCTGCTAGTCAAGTAACAGAAGCAAATGTTACCAAAACCTTTAGGGAAGACTGGCTTTCTTGAACAGAATACAGTAACCACCTCAATTTAGATTTTAAAACAGGTTTTAAGTTTATTTTTCTAAGAACAGAATGCTATACAAAATAATTGCTAAATTATCCTAACTTCACTTCTGAATAAAACCTTAAATTATGTATTACATCTAAAAATCTCTACTTTTGAAAATTATAGCTTTAGGGGCGCCTGGGTGGCTCAGTCGTTAGGCGTCTGCCTTTGGCTCAGGTCATGATCCCAGGGTCCTGGGATTGAGCCCTGCATCAGGCTCCCTGCTTGGCAGGAAGCCTGCTTCGACCTCTCCCACTCCCCCTGCTTGTGTTCCCTCTCTCGCTCTCTCTCTGTCAAATAAATAAATAAAATCTTTAAAAAAAAAAAGAACCTGCATAGTAGTCACCCAAACAAGGAAATCTTATTCACAGGAGTGACAGCTTGATTGACAAAAGAGGACGGTGGATATATTTACCAGCTAAGTGGCACTGGGAGATGGCAGTAGTATATAGTTTATAATCTACTCAGTTTTCCAGGTGTTTGTTTAAATTTAGGAAGGCTCGCATTATTTCAGACTCTGTGCAAGGAATTTATATATTTCAAATTTATATAACTAGAATTTGCATTAAATGTAACTAATGTGTATGAGGTAACATTGCCAGTGGGGTAATTGATTGTTTTTAACAGTCTAAAAAGCTAATCGATGAATAAAAATATGAATGAAAAGGCTAGCAGTTTTACATTTTTATCAAACTAATCCCAAGAGTGATTTTATTAGGGTGATTAAAAAAATAATTTAGCCAAATGCTTTTTAAAAAAATTCAGGTTATCTTTTCCTTCGGGAGAAACCAGAGTCCCAGTCGCCATATTTTATTTCAGCAGAATAGTTACAGTCTAGCATTCAGACTCCCTAAATGAATTCACTTTATCAATGCCTAGATATGTAAAGCTAGAAAGATAAAAAATTGGTCAAAATACATTTATTGCATTTACTGTGTACATGTCAGGCTCTGTGCTAAGCACTCAGAAGTTGAACCAGACTTTGAACAGGCATTTTAACGGAAGAGATACATAAGTAACTGCATACACATTTCCTGTCAGGATTATAGGGAAATACACTGATGTGTTAGATTTTCTCTTGTGTTCTTTTGAAATGTGCTAACTTGTCCTCTCTGTGCCAGAGCTCTGAACTCTGAGATTTAGGCTTGATTCAAAGCAGGTCTTGAAGTTTGGACCTGAGAACAGTTCCAAGGCTTGTAAATAAATTATTTTTAAAAAATGTTTAAGTTGCATGGTCAAGGTCTTTCTTTGAGGTTGTCACCATCATGCTAGATTCCAAGATAACGCTTTTTTTGGTTAGTCATTAGGTGTGTTCCAGTATGTTCTGTAGTTTATTTCTTTTTAAGATTTTATTTATTTGAGAGAGAGAGAGAGTACACACACATGAGCCAGGGGAGGGGCAGAGAAGTAGACCCCCTGTTGAGCAGGGAGCCCAACATGAGACTCAATCCCAGGACTCTGGGATCATGACCTAAGCTGAAGGCAGACACTTAACCTTAACTGAGCCACCCAGGCACCCTGTTCTGTAGTTTAAAAGACAACCCAGCCATTTCTCTCTTGCGCTTAAGGAAGGTTTCATTATAGCTTGAGATGAGGCCTCTGTAATTAATTAGTTGACCTAATTTGTCTCTTGAATCACAGCAGAACTTCCCAGAATTTCTGGACATTCCTAGAGCAGGTGGTCTGAGGAAGAAATGAGTCAAGCATCCTCAAAGGGTGATAATGCATGACTGGTAATTAACAGTAAAGAAGGTTGGTTGGGAGGTCTGGGAAGACTTGGCAACCCTGGATGGACAGATCTGGCTTTCTGTTGACTTGATAATTAATTTAATTGATTTTGGGTGGACAGAATTTATCAAAAACATAATCTATTAGAGGGATAGATCAAAATTAGTAAATAGAAGTAAAACGAATTGAGGCAGTAAATATGGGGAAATTATACAGATTAGTGAGTCTTGTGAAAACCAAACAAAATGAGAAGGAAACTGCAGGATATTTCCCGGTCTTGGGACCACAGGAATGAGGTGAGCCAAGGGCAGTACCATAGTTCAACTAAGTAGAACCAAGGTCTTGACAACAGTGGAACTCATTATGTACCACTTTTAGTTACCCTGGCAATAACCTTTTTTTTCCCCCCGTTAATTTTTTTTATTATGTAAACCACCATACATTACATCATTAGTTTTTGATGTAGTGTTCCATGATTCATTGTTC